GGCCGCGGCGGACGGCGGGGTCCGGCTGAGGGCGGCCCCCGCCCTCGCCCGTGCTTCCCGCTCTGGTGCCGCGCTCCTCGCTGGCTCCCCGCCGGGGTCTTCCCGGGTGGCCCGAAAGCCGTCGCCGCGGAGTTGGGTCCGGGTCTTCGTGTCGGCTCTGGTCTCTCTCGTGTCCGGACTCGGGGCTCCTCCACCACTTCTCTTACTTCTTGGCCTTCCGATCGGTGTATCCAGAGGCCACAGTTTTTGACAAGTCAGGCCCTTGAGGAGTTCATTTCTCTTGAAAAGAAAAGTTTATTTTCTCCTTTGAAAACAATCAGGCCTTTGAAGAGGTTCTCTTTTTTAAAAACCAGGCATTTGAAGAGTTTGTTTCTTTTGCTGGCCCTTTAAAAATACTGGCTCTTCTTCAAAAATGCGTTTTACTCTTTTAATACATCCGACGCCTTCTTGATGTAATTTGTAATGTCCCTGTGGTGTTCGGTTTTATAATGGATACATTTGGGGTTGTAAAGTTTCTCTAATTACGTCTTTCTTTCTGAGGCGCATAGATTCCTTTTGATGTTTCTCTTTGATCTTGAGTTATTTAGGGTAGTTTCTTCATTCCCAAATTAAGATGTATTTTGATTTTTTACTTTACCGTATTGTCCGAGAATGTGGACTGTCAAGTCTCAACTTTTAAAAATTTATCAGGATTTTCTTTGAAGCCAAGTTACACAGTGAGTTTTGTTCAGTGGATGCAAGAGGAAAAGTATGTTTTTATCACTTTTGACTTATCGGATGCTATCATAGGATCCTCTTATTCAACAAAAAAGTACTTCGGACCTTGAATTGCACTTTGATATTTGCATTGCCATGCTTGCTTTCACTTTTATGGCATTTGGATGACATCTCTGCCCGGAGCTTTGTTTTATCTTCATATTTGTGTCTGTTTTAGATGACCTGTTTGTAAACAATAGATATCTTTTGCTTTATCCAAATCCAACTTATCGTCTCTGTTCATGGAATTTTAGCTCTTCAGTGTAGTGATGATTTATTGATTTTATTCCTTTCCTTTTATGTTTACTATTTTTAAATCTCTTTATTTTCTGGTTTGCCTTTATACTCTTTCATTGGATTGATTCAATTTCCATAGTTTCCATTCTTTTTTGTTCCTTCGTTCATTCGTTTGTTTGTTTGTTTGTTTGTTTGAATTGGAGTCTCACTCTGTCCCCCAGGCTGGAGTGCAGTGGCACAATCACAGCTCACCACAGCCTTGACCTTCTATGCTGGGATTACAGGCATGAGTGATGCGCCCAGCCCATTATTTCCATTCTACATCCCCATTTAACTTCTGTTATTTTTCTGAGATTATTAGGAATATTTTGTTATAAGATCCTCTTTTTTCTTCTGTTTTTAAATAGCGTCTTGCTCTTTTGCCCACCCTGTAGTGCAGTAGTGTAATCTTGGCTCATTGTAATCTCAAATTCTCGGGCTCAAATGATCATCCTGCCTCAGCCTCCCAGGTAGCTGAGATTACAGGTGCATACCACCCCACCCATTTAATTAATTTATTTTTTGTAGAGATGGGGTCTTGTTTTGTTGCCCCAACTAAGATATTATATTACTAATCTTTCTTTTCTTTTTATTTTTTTGAGACAGGGCTATGTTGCCTAGGATGGTCTTGAACTCCTGGACTCAAGCAATCCTCCCACCTCACCCTCCCAAAGTGCTGGGATTATAGGTGTGAGCCACTGTGCCCAGCCTTGCTTTTCTCTTTAATGGCCTCCTTATCACATCATCGCCTTGTCCTTTTTTATAACTATATATGTTTTGCAAGAATTGTTCCTATTCAAGATTACTTTTCTGACTCATTTTACATTCATTTGGAATTGTCCTCTGGGTATTTCCCTCAAAGCTAGAGATATTCTGCCAGTGCTTTCATTTCTGAAAATACCTCTCTAGCTCTAAAAGGGGAGCAGTCTTTTAAATGCTATTTCTAATATCACTTGGTTTTCATAACTGCAAATGAACAGTCTTGGTTTTCTTCGTTTTTAACTCTGTAAATAATCTGTTCCTTCACATGTGCTTTAGATTGAGAAGTGTTTTTCACTTTTAAATCTGTCCTTAATCCTCAAGAATTTCCCCAGATACTCGTTGGCTGGGTTCCTGTTTGTGCATGTGTAGGAAGGAGATTGTGGGGGAGGCTGATGGAATGGGCCTCGTTGTGTCAGTGGGGGACATGTATCCGGAGGCTGTCTAAGGCCCTCTTGCAGGTGCAGGTGTGCCTGGATCGGGACCCTTGGAAGGGCTAATGGAGATGCCCAAGAATAGTCATACCGGCATGGAGTCCCGTCATTGACTGAGGGAGAGCCGGGACCATCAGGGAAGAAGCCCTGGGGTCTGTGATCAGGAACTACGGGATGAGTGGCTTGGGGCCTGTAGGCTGCAGGACATGGGCATCCGTGTTTCTGAAGCCTGAGTTCTGTCTTCTGGGGGCAGGGTCCCTGAACAGAGGTTGACTCTAGGAGCCGACTGATGAGTGGGAGGGAGTGAGGCGTTAGGCGCCAGGTAGCAACTTGAAGGGCTTGTGAAGTCGGATCGTATACCGTTGTGTCTTTCGGCTGTTCTATAAAGTGTTGAAGCAATCCACAATTACTGGGTATCAGGGTGTTTCCGGCCTTTCTTTCTTATTAGTCATTTGTGGTAAAAATTCCTGCATTTAAATCTTTGAGCAGTATGGATGGGATGATTTTTTTAATGATGTAGTTCTAGAAATAAATTTTTGGGTAGGAGGTGCATGAGCACTAAGTATTGCATGTGTGACACTGGCGTACTTCCTTCTGTCGTCTGTACCTCTGCCCATCTGGTGTTTTTGTTTGTTTTTTTTTTCCTTCAGATTTCCGCCTCTTTCCCAGAACAGCCAAAAATGACCAAGTCCCTGGTGAGTTCTCATTTGTTCATCTATTTATTTGGTGCTTTCTTTTACTCTTTAATGGATTTGAGGAGGCATCATATAGTAAAATGACAAGTATAGATAAATAAAAACTAAGATCAGAGAAAACGAAGAAGAGACTGTCAACTCCAAGTCAAGTCTGGAGTATAGAAATGTGTGAATCACATGGTGTCACGCAGTTATGAACTTTAAACGGTAAGATTGTTTCTGATCTTCCTGACAGACATAGCAATAATGGAAACTGGATTCGTGGTTTATATTAACAGGTAATGTATTTCATCTGTGGTAAAGATTTCCTGGCTCTTGATGTTTGAGAAATTTTTTGATAGATCTTCAGATGGATAGTGACAGAACAGTCTTCATCAGCAACCTTGTTTAAAGTACACCAACAGGCTTTCCGTTGTCTTATAGAGCAGTACTTCTCACGCTTTACTTGCATCTGAATTCAGATTCTGATTTAGTAGGTATGGGATGGGATACAAGGGTTTGCATTCCTCACAAATTCCCACAGACTATCAATGCTGTTTGTCCAAGGACCACCTCTGAAGCTTGAGGTTTTGTCAGGAACGGGTGTTGAGTTATGTTAAGTGCTTTTTCTGGCATCAACTGACATGATCATGTGGTTTTACTTCTGTGGTTTGTCGATATGGTAGATTACTTTGGTTTTTTTGTTGTTGTTTTAAATATTAGCCAGCCTTTCGTTCTCGGACTAAACTCCACTTGTCCATGGTATAGACTTCTTTTTATTTATTTGTGTTTTCTAATATTTTGTTAAGGGTTTTCGTATCATACTTATGAAAGATTTATCATGCTTTTCTTTCTTTCTCTCTTCCTATTCTTATAAGGCCACCTGGCTTAAAAAGCCCTCTCTCCAAATGCAGTTACATTGGGGATTAGGGCTTCAACATAGGAATTTTGGGAGGACACAATTCATTCCATAGCAGAAATACTCCCTTATTAGCCTTATACTATTTGCAAGATAGATAATGGTATCTCCTGTGCTATTCCTTATATTGATAATTTGTGTTTTCTCTTTTTTTTGTATGTCAGTCTCATTAGATGTTTGTAAATTTTATTGCTATAAATTTCCTCCTCATCACACCTTTAGCTGCATCCCACAGATTTGGACATTTTCCATTTTTACTCAATTTAGTGTAGTTCTTAAATTTCTTCAAGACTTTCTCTTTGACTCATGGATTATTTTGAATTGTGTTGCTTAGTTTCCAAGTGTTTGAAGATTCTTTTTGTCATCTTTCTGTTTCTGATTTCTAGTTTGAATTCATTGTGTTCAAAGAACATAACTGTGTGGTTTCAATTCTTTTAAATTTGTGGAGATTTGTCTAGTTCTTAGAATAACAATTATTGAGAGAGGGGTGTCGAAGCCTTCAACTGCAACTGTAGATAGCCTCATTTTCCTTTTAGTGCTGTCAATCCTTGCTTCATGTTTTTGCAGCTTTATCGTTAGGATTGCCGTGTCTTCCTGACAGATCAACTGTTTAACCACTAGGTGTTACAGACTAAATGCCCCCACTGAAATTAATATGTTGAAACCCCTAGCCCACAATGTATTAGGAAGTGAGACCTTTGGGAGGCAATTAGTTTTAGATGAGTTCGTGAAGGTAGAGTACACATATGGTATTGGTGACTTTGTGAGAAGAGGAGGAGATCAGACCTGTTCTCCCTCCCCCGTGAGAAGATACACGAAGTCAGCCATCTTTAAACCAGGAAGGGACCTTCCCCAAACACAGCCTGCGGGCACCTTGATCTTGGACTCCCTGTCATCTAAAACTGTGAAAAATGAATGTCTGTTGTTTAAGCTACTCAGTGTATAATATTTTGTTATAGCAGTTAGAGCGAATGCAGACATTATGTAATGTCTCTGGTAATCTGTTTTTCCTCTGAAATTGACTTTATCTTATATTAATGTAGCCATTCCTGTTTTGTTTTGATTGATGTGTGCATGTTGCATATTGTATTCGTTGCATAAGACTGGCTTAACAGACTACCACAAATGGTGTGGCTCAAAACAACAGAAATTTCTTTTACAGTTCCGGAGGCTAGAAACGGCAGAAATTTTTTTAAGTACTAGAGGCCGTAAATCCAAATTGAAGGTGTCAACAGGGCCATGCTGTCTGTGGAAGTTTCTGGCCGTTGCTGGCGATTATTGGTGTTTTAGCTTGCAGTTGTATAACTGCAGTCTGCCAACATAGTCACATGGCCGTCTGCCCTTTGTGTGCTATGTTTTCACATGACATTCTCCTCTGTATGCTTCTGTTTATCTTTTATAAGGACACTATTCGTACTTGGTTAAGGGCCCACCTACTTCAGTATGACTGCATCTTAACTTATATCTTTATGCATTTTATGTATATTATAACATTGTTGTTCCATAATTTTCAAAATTAAAAAATATAATTATCTTCCTAACATTTTTTTTTCACTCTGTGTGTGTGAGTTCTATCTATATCACAAAAGGCTGGTTATTTGTGTTGTTCAGATTCTCTGTATAATTTTTAATTTTTCGAACATTGCTGCTTGTTTTATGTAGGGAATCTCATCTCTATTGTAGCTGGCTTGTCAATTTTCTTGCTCAAGTTTTCCTATTCATTCTAAATTTTTGTTATATTTAGCAAATAATGAATGTAATTGGGTTAAACTCTCCCATTGCTTTTGTGGGTTGTCACTTTCTCCATATAATTTTATCAGCTTTTGTTTTATATATTTTAAGCTATGTTATGCAAAGTACAGATTATGTCTTTCTGGTAGTTTTTTTGTTTGTTTTGTGGTTTTTTTCCCATTATGTAGCACTACATCTTTTGCTTAAAAGCTTTGTAGTTTATCATTGCAATCCAGTTTCTGTTTACTATTTTAATGAAACTATCTGGCTAAATACAGTACTATAGTATATTACTTAAGTTTTATATTTCAGTGTAACAGAAACCCAAAAATTACAGGCTTAAATGCATAAGGGTTTATTCTTTTAAACAAAAAAGTCTGAAGGTATTCAGTCAAGAGCTGGTATTTTTAAAGACTCATACATTGTTTTTTCTATTCTGTATGTCATTCTCATTTTGTGATTTCCAACCTCACATCACTTGCTGATCCAAGAGATCTACTGGGGTTCCATTTACTGAGTCCACATTTCAGGCCAGTAGCATGAAGAAGTTGGGGAAGAAAAGGGCACTCACACCTTCTCTCTTTGAAGTGCCTTCTTAAAAATGTCACCTTTATCTCAGTGGCCAAAGTATAATTTCTTGGCCACATTTAAGGCAGCCTGGGCAAAGGGAATCTTATTCAGAATTACAGTGTGTCCAGCTAAGAATTCATGTTCAGTTATTAGGGGAGAAAGGAAGAATGAATATTAGAAGACAACTAGCTTCATTGTTACACCTTCTAAACACAAAATCCAAGATTCATTTGTCGTGTGTGTGTGTGTGTGTGTGTGTGTGTGTGTGTGTGTGTGTGTGAGAGAGATCCATCTTGGCATTCAACTCTATCAGCTAGTCCTCACTTAGATTCTAAGAGTACTTTCCTCTGGTCCATATATGGTTTCTGTTACTGCCTCCTTCTCTTTGACCCATCTTCAATGTTGGTATTTTTTCAGATTCTCTCCTTTACATTCTCCTTTATCAGGTGTCCTCCTGAACAATCTTATTTACTCAAATGATCTTAATTCTTGGTTAGCTACTGGTGATTCCCAAATCTTTATTTTCACCGCAAGTCTCCACCCAAATTTCTATGGTATGCCTACATGTTTTAATCTCAACATCTGCAAAATTTAGGTGATTTTCTCTGGTTCCCTCTCTCCAATTTCTTCCCACTCGTCTATTCTTTATTTCAGGATATGGCACCATAATATATTCATATAAGATGAATAATTGAGAATTTCCCTCTAGTCCCCTCTTTTTCTCATTCTATCAGTTCTAATTACTTTCTGCAACAATTTCTTCTTGTATATTACATTTAAATGATACTTTTTCTGCCCCCACTTAAGTGTTTTATGCTTTCACTCTTGCGCATTCAAATTCATTCTCCATGCTACTTCTTGATAATCTTAAGCATCTTAAAAGCCTGATTATCTTTTCCTCCATATAAAATACTCCAATGACTGTTCATTATCTGTTGGAGGCAAAATGGATAATTGCATAATCTTATTCCAGCATACCTCTACAGAAATCTTCTCATAAACACCTTTCTGTTGCTGCATACAGACCTCTATTCAGTTCCCTGAGTTTATCATGTATTTTCCTGCTTCCTTACCTTTGCTTTTGACGCTTCCTTCTAAAAATCTGTACCCTGCTCTTCTTGCAGCAAACATGTCATCTCCCAAGACTGAGCTTACGCTTCATCCAATCTATGGAACTTAGTCTTACATTCCATGTAAAATTTTATTCTATCTGGGGTCATGTTGTACTCGTCACATCTATTATATATACCCCTTATAATATCTTAGTTAATTGTTGGAAGTTCTGTGATATCTTGAAGCATATTTTATTCAACTTTATGTTGTAAGCATTTTGCTTGGTACATATATGGCAGTTAATTCCTAAGATAGAGAACTTAAACAGAACCTATTGTAGTTTCACTGGATAATGACTTCAATCAATATTGACAATTCATTTTCTTCAGCACTTGAAAAATATTGTGCTACGGTTTTTGATGTCCATAGTTTATGATGAGAAATTCATTTTCATTCAAATTTCTGTTTCCCTACAGGTAATGTATCATTTCTTTCTAATCATTTTCAGATTCTATTTTTGAATTTGCTTTCCATAAATCTTGTGATGTGTCTGGGCATGTATTTATTTGATATTTTCCTGTTTGATATTTGATCAGCTACTTGAATCTGTACATGTATGCCTTTTACCAAATTTGGGGAGTTTTCAGCCATTATTTCTTCAAAGATGTTTTTTCTCTCAACCTACTCTTCCTTCCTTGTAGGACTCTGATGAAATGATTGTTAGATCTTCTGTTATTGTCCCACAGGT